GCACCAGTGACCGCTGTATTAGATCGGCCGCAGCGGTGTGAACGGTGCCGTCTGAGCCGTCTGCTGTTTTACCGCCGCCCTGACCCGGACGACCGTCACTGCCGGCTCCTCTGTTTGAACAAACCACTGGGCCAGTAGGCACATACAGCTCACCATGGAGGTCGGGAGACCGCCGGTCGGCGTGGGAAGGGACGACCGGTTCCGCGTGGGAGGTCACGGAAGCACTAATCAAACACGGTTTTTAGTGTGAGGATTCTGGGAACTGTGTTGGGTGGTCGACTGTTTCCAGCTTCTTCACTTGATGCCGATCCATGCTTTTATTGACAGAATAATTCACTGCATTTCACGTCGGCTGCGAATCTCATTAGCTTCCTTCCTCCAGACGCGCAGGCTTGTGCTCCGTCTTCCCATTCGTTCCACTACGGTGCCTGCCGACCACGACATGTCATGAATTTTGATCGCCGCGCTCCGTCTGACATCCTCCCGCTGGCACAAGGTGGTGACACAGAAGGACACCGATCTCGTGACCAAATCGGCTTTAACCTGTCTCTGCCTTCATGAGGGTCACGTGATCTACTTCTTCTACTGTGTCAGGGATAGAGTCCACCTGGTAAACTGCCGTCAATGGTCCATCGGCGCTCTTCTTCCTCCTCTATGTTCCTTCTCTTCTGCTTCCATGCACCGGCCTCTCTCCTTGCCCCGATGACGTGACCTTGACCTGGTGACCCGAGTCCGGCTCGGGGCATCAGCAGAGGTCACGGGGTAGCTAACGGGTTCATACCGGAAGGCACGGGCTTGATCGGTGTGAGGCGGTGAAGTTCGTGAAATAGCACGCGTCGCCACGCCCGAACTGCGGCCTGATGATGGACGGGCGGGTCGTAGCAGTCTGAGGCAGTCGTCACCGGCAGGGCCACCCACTGTGTAGCCCTGTCGGAGCGACTGTCTCAGTATGTCAAACCTGAGCCTGTCGCAAGGCTCAGGTGTGGTGTGAGCCACAAGCTTTGCAGGGTATAAACATAGGTGCGTCTATTTCCTGACGTCTTCTTGAACACGGGTCGCCGTGGGTCATCAGAACTCCGTGCCCGATTTTTCTTATTTCATGAGGACTCAAAGTGGCTATTGTTCGTCTCCACGTATAGGAAGATATCTGCGCTGTATTTACATTTCACATAATTTAAACACCGTTTTGGCATAGTCATACACTCCAGCTGCCGACTTCTGCACGAACTGCTATCAGCTGCACCATGGATTGATATGAGGCTATACCGCAGAGGGCGCCACTACTGGCTCTACCTCAGAGAGCGCCACTACTGGCTCTACCTCAGAGAGCGCCACTACTGGCTCTACCTCAGAGGGCGCCACAGACATCTGAGCGGTACCAGCTACACGGAGGTTCCTCCGGCGGGTCCCGCCACAGAGGTCGCTGCTGAGCTCACTGATGGACTCTAGGTGACGCTGAGCTGCCGCCGCAGGTCGCCTGCTCGGTGTTCTTTGGTCTGGGCTGGGGGCTTTTCAAACGGAATTTTGGTGAATCGTAAGTGGTTAAGCGTTCTGAGGAATATCATCATGAGAAGTATGCGCATCTGGCTGACCTTATCCTCACTTCTGTATGGAAATATGAAATTGCAAAAATAAATTACTGTATTAGAAATCGAGATATTTCGAGCACAGCTCTTCGTCGGTCGATTGTAATTATTTACACACATAACAGGCACACAATGTCGAATTCGTCTCAAGTTCTTCAGTAATGTCGCAGTAAGAAATTTAAATACATAGATCCCGTGCAAATTGATCACCCTAGTTCCTACCTTAAAAATATATCTAACATAATTCCCCAGTTAAACTAGCAGTACATATATAGGTATCTTTCAAGAACCAATTCACACACATTTATATACATTATTTTGGAAGAAGCTGCCATGATGTAGTGTTATCGTTAATTTTGGGCCTGGCGTCCCGGATGAAGATGGATTCAGCGATTCTTCTATCCGCTTCGTCTTTGCATACACGCAGGATTTTGGCCGTCACGCAGGAATTTTGGTGACCTGGACTGCCGCCTATAGATTGTTTTGCTGCTATAAAACCAAGGCCCTATATAGACTATAAAACTAGTAAAACGCCTTTTGGGCGAAGAACGAGCGAGCGAGATAGTGAGCCCTGCACGTGCGGAAGGGCGAGAGGGTACTTCCAACCGGTTTGTGCAAAGCTGAAAGCACCCTTCTAACCAGTCGCTAGCGGTGTGCCAAATTTGAACGCAATCGGCCCAGCCGTTCCTAAGGTCTGAAAGCGGCATTCTGCCCGTGCGCACGTGCAAACGGGGTCCAAACTGACTTTTGCACGGCACCCTACTAACCGGTCCCCAACCGTGTGCCAAATTTGAGCGCAATCGGCCCAGCCGTTCTCGAGATCTGGAAACGCCCCCTGCACGTACATACGCACGTGCAGTAGCACCCTAACCGCAACACATGGGAATGCATTGCCTGGTGGGTGCCTACCCGTATGCCAAGTTTCAGCGAAATCGCCCCTGTAATTACCGAGTTATTGAAATGGGAACAAATTTGGCACTTCTTCTTTTTGCATTATGCACGTGCAGTGGGGGTCACTCACATAGATCAAGAGTACCCGACCTTTGGTAGAAGGGATGCAGCTACCCTACAAAAATTACCGCAAGATAATCGCCCCAGCGGCTGCTGAGATATGAGCCTCTCAAAATCACTACTTTTGCAAAACAGCTTGAACACCCTTGACTTTTCACGTGGCACGTGCCACGCCGGTCACTGAGATGTATCAAAAGTAGTCAATAACGGCGTAGAAGGGATGGGGATACCCAGCAAAAAAGACCGCAGGCCAATCGGTCCAGCGGTTGCTGAGATATAGCCTCTCAAAAGCGTTACAGGCCGGGCCGGGCCGGGCCGCTCATACTGAGATTGTTCCGTTATATTGAAAAGACTTCGCTGCGCTCGCTCGCTCGTAATTATTTTTCCGTCACATATTGAAAAAACTTCGCTTCGCTCGCTGCGCTCGCTCCCTCGTAATCAACAGTAAAACTTTTGACACATAACGCCCACCCCGGAATGCTTCCTCTTCAGATTATGGAGACGTTTTATACGAATTTGACTTGTGTTGCCATCGATCGTGAATAAAACTCAATCATGTCTGATTATTTATGGAGACGTGTCCGATTGCAGGAGCTTCTTCTAGGTAGGTTCCCCTTGCATCTCATTTGATAACTTGTGTCGACCGTAAGCTTATGTGCTAAGACTTGGACCGCCTCATTAGATTTGTCCTTTATCGCCAGTACCGAGTCACTCTCGTCCTTCGTCACACCCGACTGGTCCCTGCTGATATTCACCCCACCCAGGCAGCCGGTGATGGCAGTTTCAATAGGATGCCCTTCCCGTAGTGAAGGTTTGAGATGCTGTTCCACTGGGTCTATCTCGTCCCAACGGGACGGGTTCGGCTGAGTCTCTGCTGCTCGGCTCATTAGTCTGTTGGTGACTCATCTCATTGCATAGACAGTACACACTACCTTATTCGCTTATGAAACGGCTCTGCAATGGTCTTAGTGGCTTACGCAATAAAACCAACGCAAGCAAAGTCGATTTTTCTTTGGTTCATTGGACAATGGACATTTAAATTGATGCTTTCGTTGTAACCACAAGAAATAGACGGCAATCTACATTGCCGTGACAGCTGAAGGACGTTACATAGGGGCTTCTTGATTTAACCGAGGCATGCTAAAATATGGGAATTATAATGTATAACTCTTCTGGCTACAAAATCAAAAATAAGTAATTATATTTTGACGACGAGGCTAAAAGCTGATCAAAGAATGTAGGTAAAAAGTAATTCAACAACATCTAGCTATTTTAAGTTTTTTTTTTGTTTTGCTTAGGGGACGTTGGGGGAACGCCGAATACTTTTTTTCTGACGCCCGTAGCACGCAAGGTAGACAACATACACTGAAAAAATATAAAACACTGGTCGGGTGTTTTATCAGTGTATTATGGGTGTTAAGCACCATTAATGGTGTATCATGACACTAATAGCAGTGTCATTACCCCATCCAACACCGTTATTGGTGTAATAGCATTGCTTGAACACGGTTTAAGGTGTCACATGACACTTGAAATAACACACTTGGGGTGTAATCGAGGTGTCTCAACTCCCATCTAACACCTTTTTTGGTGTTACAGAGAAAACATAACACCCGTTAGGTGTACTGAGGGTGCCATGTCATCCCTTAAACACCGTTTAAGGTGTCACACGACACTTGAAAAGCACACTTGGGATGTACTCGAAGTGTCGTAGCTCCCATTCAACACTCCTTTTGGTGTCAAAGAGAAAACAAAACACCCTCTGGGTGTATTGAAAGTGTCATGTCATCACTTAAACACCGTTTAAGGTGTCACACGACACTTGAAAGAGTACACCTGGGATGTAATCGAGGTGTCGTAACTCCCATTCAACACTCATAGCAGTGTCATTACCCCGTTGAACACCGTTATTGGTGTAATGACATTGCTTGAACACCGTTTAAGGTGTCACATGACACTTGAAATAACACACTTGGGGTGTAATCGAGGTGTCTCAACTCCCATCCAACACCTTTTTTGGTGTTACAGAGAAAACATAACACCCGTTAGGTGTACTGAGTGTGCCATGTCATCCCTTAAACACCGTTTAAGGTGTCACACGACACTTGAAAAGCACACTTGGGATGTACCCAATCGAAGTGTCGATCCCATTCAACACTCCTTTTGCAGGTGTCAAAGAGAAAACAAAACACCCTCTGGGTGTAGGTATTGAAAGTGTCATGTCATCACTTAAACACCGTTGAAGGTGTCAGTGACACTTGACAGAACACAATGATAGGTATCATATCACATCACATCACAATGTAGGTATTGAAGTGTTATGAAATGTAAGTGTTAGCTAGTATTATCGTAGGGGTCTGAGCCGTAGGGGGTCTGAGCCAGGGGATGACTAACACCGTTCGTATTCTCTTGGTACTTCATGTAGTTAAGTTATAAATGTTATTGTTTAGCTGGGACAGAGACATTCTAGCATAAAAATATTCAAATTACCAGCTTCGTTTATTAGTTACGGGAGCTTTCGAAAGACGTTCGTCTTTCTTCGTCAGCCTGTCTTTGCAGTGTCAGACACCCTTGAAATTCCCTATGGGTGCAGTTGGGTAGATGGCGCTGCTGTGCTGTATGGTGTACAGAGTTTGCATTTATATTCTAATGGATTTGCTTCAACTACATCAAATAAACAAATCCACGATAATAAATAAATAAATTCATATACAATACTTCAAAGAAAACGCGTCGGGAAAATATTGGGAACATAATGCAGCCCTAGTAGCCCATGTTCAACCGTTGGCTTCCATGCGGCCGGCCGCCATACTAGTTTGAAACGTGCGCGACTGCGGGCGGAGGCGCTGGTGGGATTACGGTGTGTTGGGAGTATAAGTGTGTGCAAGTGAGTTAGAAGTGATCGTGAGTGGTGTCTTGGTACTCGAAGAGCTCCAGTTTTAGCAAAGGTGAGCTATTCTTGGCTAGCAATGGCACTGCTGCGGATTCCGAAAGACATGGTACTGGCCGCTGGGGGGGGGGGGGATGGCGGCATACTCCCGATAGGGGTTCTTTAATATCCGAAAAATATATCCTCAGATTTTTTTCTCTGGTGTTGGTGTGCAATTTAACACGCACCCTGCTTGGGTATTTATCCGAATTCGTAACCCCACTGGAGAGGGGGAGGGGGTTGGATTCTGCTTATTTCTATTATGCTCCGCGTATCCGTGCTGCTAGACTGATTTGCGATGCAATGTGGTGGCATTTGTTCCCTGCAACCTACATTCTGTGTGTAATTTCATAACGCTGTATCATATAGGTATGCATACAACTTATTGATTCCCCCATTGGGTACAGGGTGTCAGGTACAAATGTATCACTGGTAGTTTAAATGAATTGTTGGTAATAACAAGGTTGAATAACACCAATGATGAAAGTGGGTGTTCAGTTTATCACACATGTGAGCGTCATTCCCTGCAATGTCAGTGTTTGTTATCAATTTTACACCGTTACGAGTGTTACTAGGGTGTCTTAACAGTGTTGAAGTACACCCTTAATGGACGCCTGAAGGATGAGCTTAAATTCCAAAGGGCGTTAAAAACAACGTAACCCGAAGCTGATATTAACCCGCGCCCCGTTGGGCTCTGCCGAGCAACGCGCCCGGTTGGGGGGGCCATTTTGCCCCCCCCCCCCTAAGATCTCGAGAACCACGCAACATAGCGACAAGCGGTAAACGGCGTTGGATAGCCCCAACGGGGAACTACCTTGTGACCCAATTTTATTGACCTAGGTCAAACCGATGACGTCACAGGTCAGGTCAAAGGTCCAATTTTCACCGTTTACAGGCACTTCAAGAAATGCGTTGTAAAATCGAGTAAAATGCATTTCATTGAAAATCATCGATGGGGAAATGTTCTTCAAACACATATTTTGCTATCTGAGGTCACTGATACCAGGTCAGGTCACAGAGGTCAGGTCACGGGGGGTCACAATATGAAAGTGTCGTGTGATACATGTTTTATTATCCATTTTACATGACAAATGCGATTATATGGGTCAGGCAGCCTTTGGGGCCAGCTTAGATCACGTTTTGGTCAAGGTCAGGTCAAGGCAAGGCTATATAAACCAGGTAGAACGCTCCGGGAAATAAGTTGGAAACAATAAATTAGTTGCGGCATTCCCTGATGACGCGAATGTGGGTCAGCGGCCGGCGGCCGGCCGCCGCTAACACTGTATGAGGAGGGATGCGCGGAACTTTTGCTTGTTGGTGATTGCGCTAGGCAGTTAAATGGTAATGTTAGGATATGTTTCGAAAGTAAATTGAACGACGCTTCGAACGCCGTCAATGAATTTGCGATACGACGACTATTTGTTTAGTTAGAGCCGGCGAACTTTTACCTTCCGACCGCGCGCGGAGGCGATATGGTGCCACACTGGCGGTTTTTACGATAGCTCAAAATTCTTTTGAGATAAAGAGATGAAATTTGACATGTCCTATCTTTTGATCAAGCTGGATCTTATGGTACAAGTCGCATATTTAAGGTAGGTCAGGTTGTTGACCTATGTTGTCGTTCGTGAGCCTCTGCACAGTCCAAAAACAACGCAATTTCTGAACACTCAGTGCCAAGAAATCCTTCACAGAAAGATGACACTTGGCAGAAAGAAGAGTTGTCGGTTTCTTACCGTTCGTATGTGTCGTGTTTTCACAAGTTTAGTAAGGTCAGGTCCGTCACGTGACCTCCCCTCATAACTCAATAGGTTTACTATCATAGAAGCGTTTATCAATCGCCGGAAATCTTAGCCAATCCCACTGGACACTGGATCCATACCCACATGGGGCCCTCCTGACTGGCCACTCCCTCTGAAATCCACAATAACATTGGGCTGCGGCCACGGTTATGTATTAATGCTTTTCACTAACAGAAATACAACTTCAACCAGCACAGTGCACGCCGCCACAACCAGGGGCGTCGACACCGGTCCGACTTTTCCGACTAGTCGGACCACTTTTTCGACTAGGCGGTGCCCTGCTGTGGCTCGCGGGGGCCCCTGCTGCAGACCGCGGGGGCCCTACTGCGGCTCGGGGGGCCCTGCTAGAGACCGCGGGGGCCCTGCTGCGCCTCTGGGGCCCTGCTAGACACCGCGGGGCCCTGCTGCGGCCCGCGGGGTCCCCTTCTGCGGCCGCGGGGGGCCCCTGTTGGGGCTCTCGGGGGGCCCTGCTGCGGCCACGGGGGCCCCTGCTGCGGCAACGGGGGCCCCCCGCTGCGGCTCGCGGGGGTCCTGCTGCGCCTTCGCGGGGCCCTTCGCGGGGGCCCCCCGAGAAAAAGTCGGACCAGTTTTCCTTACGCGTCGACGCCCCTGGCCACAACAGTCCGACCCACGTCCCTGATATCGACTAGCTCCCGGCCGGATGCACATACGCGGAGCCAATCAGTCCGAATGTGACCTGCAGCTTACAATTGCTGTGTCGCATGGCGCATGGCACAGGACGATTCCTAGCAGCTGTCGGCTGGAGTGGAGAAACAGCACGTTGCGACACACCGCGCCGGCGACAGAGCTCAGCAGGGCTGGTTGGAGGCTGGAGCCGGAGGTAAGGGCGGACACAGGCACAGACATTGCAGGACAAATAACAGGATGTCAGTTAGGGATATAATTCAAGACGAATGATTCAAGACGGACTGAAATAATACACATTTTGCTCACTTGGATACCAACTTCAAACTTGACGTTTATGTATAGCACCATGGAAACAATGGGCACACAGGAAAGAAACAAAAGATGAGGGTTTTTTAACTCAAGGAAGTAAAACAGCCCGAAGTGCAGACAAGCACATACTTTTGGTAATAGCTATCAGCTGTCCTACTCCTCTTCTCCCTTCATCAACTACTGGACACATTTGAAGCATCACATATAGCACCAATGTCCATAACCAAAGCTTGCAAGTAGTTTTAATTTCTATGAAGCCAAGGGAAATGTGCCTACATCATGCATGTAAACTCAAAATTACACTGCATGACAAAGGAAGCTTATGTAAAGAGAATAGTTGACAAAAGCATCTCATGGTCAAAATTATTCAAAACTGCACACAGGGCAAACATAAAAAGCAGCAAGTGTACCGTTCTGTTATGCTAAGAAATAGTCCAAAACAAAATACAATCTTTTCATGTTTGAACTGGTTGTTCTTCTATGCCCCTTCATCCATATCTTGATTACAGATGGGCTGTTACTGTAGGCTGATGAAGTGACACTTGATTGCCTTTGTGCGAGTTTCAGTTGCAGCCTCCTTGGTACTGCACTGGAAAGCAGATTGAATTGAATGCCTCTGAAAGATAGGAATACAGGCAAAGTTAGCTGTAGTAGTGTCAATGATAATAGACATGACATTTTTGTCCTTTGACATACATTTGTTGAAGTACAAAAAGGTACAAAATAAATTGGTTTGTTTCAAGACACGCACACTGCACAAAGCCGCACAGACATGACACCAGACACAGGCATATGAAATTGGTACACATAAAAATTGATGATTAAAAAGGTCAAAACTTGCAATAATAATTGAAGCAAAAGTTACAATCACAATCATTTGATTTAAAATGACTTGACATAAGTCACAAGACGCAACGCTCCGATTATTTTATGCTTTCATTATCCTCCACATATCAACCAGCTTGATACCAGGCTGTGCAATAGTGTGTACATAACCCCATGTTGCCATTTTATTAGAGCAAGTGGGGTTACAACAACAATGCTAATGTCAAACCCACATCTGCAACCCGTACCTACTGCAGATTCCATCACCTTACAAGCACACCTTCTGGCAGTTTGATAGGCAGAATGGTCATTACTACTTTCCCCTCATATTCAACACATATTCCCTTTATACAGATACAGTTTAGACCAGGTTATGGCAAGCACTTTCGAGAAAAGATATGATTAAAGTCCAAGACAAAGGTCGAGAGAAACAACACCAACATAAAACACCGACTAAGTAGCACTAATACTGTCAAATTCATAAAAATATATACATGAGTCGATCAGAAATTCACTGTAGATTTCGAAAATGGTGTCAAATGCCACTCAAATACCCCCATTCGCATGTACGAAGCAATAAAACACTGACCTTCAATCCCGCGTGCCATTCTCCATAGGCCACTGTGTATTAAATAACGCGTTCACTGATAGCAAAAAATGAGACCCACATATGACGCGTTTGCTACCAGCCAATCAGCGCTCGAGTTACCGAGCGCTGATTGGTGGAGAGGGCCGTCGTCAGCAGCTAATTACTTGTTGTTTTCCTTGAACATGTGCGTGAGCGCTGATGCTGCTCACGGGCTGTTGCCATTTTTCGTAGTGCTGAAGGCACGGGAGCGAACCCCCCTGGGTCAAGGTCAGGTCAAGGTCAGGTCAAATTAGGTCAAATTTCAAAGTTAATATTTTTGCATAAAATGGGTATCGAATCGATGCAGCTCGTCACGGGGAGTTCAATGGTGGTCTTTGTTTTGCCGTACGTGGTCTAGAATTGCTAAAAATTGAGTTCAAAAATTTGACGTCATCATTTTTGAACAGTTTTTTCGCTATAACTTGGCCAAAAAACGAGATATCGATCTGAAATTTGGTATGTATATAGAAGAGCGCTGGGACTATTACATATATTCCGGTTTTTTCGAAATTCGGAAAATTTTTGGATTTTTTAAAAGTTTTTCTTAAAAAAATCAATTTTTTGAATTTTTTTGGTCAAAAACCAAAAATTTTGAAAATCCGAGATAGCAGTTTTGTAGCGCCGCTTTTTGTCTACTAGACCATATAAAGAAATTTGAAATTGCTTGATAACTGTAGATTTGGTGAGCGTTTCAAGATTGCATGTTTTTTGCTCATTTTTGATCGAACATGACCTCAGTTTGACCTCAATAACTCCTGACCTAAGGTGACCTAAGACTTGAAATTTGGTGTGAAGGTGTCAAATTGATGC